ATTAACAAGAAGAAGAATAGATTTTAGATATACATATATACAACAATTGAAGACCTAAATAATAATAATAATTAAATTCATTTAAAATTTATTAAATTTTATTATAATATATAATTTCTTAAATTTCTTAAAAATTTCTCCTCATTCCGTATGAATATTAGTGAATAACGTTAATGAAGAGGATTATGACGGCGACAACAAAGTTTGGGATGGTGATGAAGTTGACTCTGATGATGATTACTGTCCTTTTTTCTATGAAGATAATCTACAAAGGCAAAAACGAAAAAGTTATATCACTGCGTTTACTATAGATTTAACAAAGATAATATCTATGCAAATTTTATAGATTTATTTAGAAATTATTTCAAATGATTATTATTTTAATTAGACTCAAAACTACCAATAAAAGGTAAAAGCTCATTGGCCAATAATGCAAAGTTTAGACAACCTAGAATTATTATATAGTGAATTTACAGATTGAAAAATTATCAAAACAGAAAGCTAATAGCTATTTATGTTACAAAACCTGCTTGAAACTTGAATGGTTTGATGACACAAATCTTAAATTTTATAAGAAATCGACCTTTTTATAAAATATAGAAATAGTACAAACTAAATATAGTAAAAAAAATAGTTGTTATTGAAAATACAATTAATAATACTCTAAAAATTGCATATACGATTTGAGAAATTATTTAGAATTAGTTTCCAGACAAGTAATGTATAGTAATTTACAATATTATACATTATGATGAGAGTTGTTCATATTAAAATGAGCAGCAAAAAACTGCCAACCATTATTAGAAAGGCCAACTGTACACAAACATCTATAATACATATTAGACTTTTGTAATAAGGTCTAATTTTTTCTCAACTATCTTTATCACCAAGAAGTGATCTGAAAGTGATATTACAGAATAAGCATAAGATTAAGAAACTTTAAACTGTCTATTTAAAGTTCCAAAAGATAAAGAGCAGCTGATTATAAATGCTAGTAATAATGCTGTTTAAACATATTGGACTCATATTCACAATGATTCCAACCATGAATCACCAAAATTTACTGCTAAAGACATGTGATTCAAAGACGCAAAAGAAAATTTAAAAAATAGTAGTAGATATAGAAAACCTTAATTACATATTAATTATAAGTCATACCAATGCTACAGTATAATGGTATGAGAGAATCATTGAAAAATAAGAATATTTTATTTTTATAATAGCGGAATAACATATGACTTCTGGAAAAATTGTAAAGAACTAACGAGAGATATTATTAGAAATGTTTAATGAAAGTATTTTAAAGGAAGACGTAACATAAATAATATAGTAAAAGTAGTGCAATAGAAAAAGAAGAATTATATAAAATAATAGAAAAAGCTGGTAATGAAGTATTAAAACTGAAAAATTACAAAAAATGGAAGCTCAAGAATATTTTGAACAGTAATGTTTGAAATAATATTAAAAATATTAAAAATCAATTTATCAAATGATGAATGGAGCATTTTTTGATTAATTTTTAGACTTATAATATTTTAATTCAATTGAATGAACCTAACTTACAAAATGCTAGTGAATAGATCAAAAAAATTAACTTTCAAAAACAGTCATCTTTTTACAAGGATTTAATGAAAATTTCAACAAACAATCAGAATAATTCAGTAACTATAAAAATTTGACAACAATGTTAGGCATTTTCATTTGTTGCAATCCTAGAAAGAAGCAACCAAATTGCTTTATTCTGTTCATCCATGTGACCATTAAACTCATATGGATTTGAAGAAAAACTATATGAAGAGATGAATGTGCAAAAAAATATTGATAGTAATATATATATTTGTATTTCAGTTGAATTTACATGTTCTGGACATTACAAAATACTGTAAATTAATATGAATAATAAAAACCTAAATTACAAGTTGCTCTGAAAGAGATTATCTTACAATATTATTATCAGAATAAATTAGATGGTGGTATTTAATTAAAAGTGAAGGAAATGAACAGTATTATGAATTAGAATTGATAAATAGAATTTGAAGAAAGATCAGGAGAGTCATGAGGTATAACTGACTAAAAAAATTATTAAGTTAAAAAAGAAAAATAGTTTTCCTTAAATATCAGTGTTTCGTTCAGTGACACAGAATGACAAGTGAATGATTTAATGATAGCATTTAATTTAGAAAATCCTTTAATGCATGAAATATTTAGAATATAAAATTTCAATTATGTGTATTGAATGACAAAAGAATTTTATATCATTAAAAACATTTCAAAAAATGGCTCCCAATGTTTACCTACCGAGCATCGAAATAGAAAAAACAATTTTAATGTAGCAGAAACGAAATATTGTCAGGAGCTTCAGAAAGCTATAACTATATGTGAAAAGATTCACGCTAATAGCAGACGCAAGCTCATGTCAATCTTACCACATTTTAATTCAAAAGAACAAGAATTGCAAGACTTTCATCAAAAATGACGTACACCATTATAGACAAGAAGGATATAGAAGTTCCCATTTTGGTGAATGTTGATGATTTCGTCCGGTACAAGACTAATAACAATAGGTCAACATGTTCCCAGAAGAAATACCACCTTGTCTATAGCAATACATTTTAGAAATATTAAAAGTTGTTATTTTATATTTTTAAAGACGAAATTCCAATGATGTACAAACTTCTATGGGAAGCTCATCATAATTTTCAATGTGTAAATGATAAACATTTCGCAAAATATATGTGCAGAAGCTGATGCTTTTATAATTCATAATTTTAAAAAGTTATATTTATTTTTATACTTAATTACTAAATAGTGATGGATCCTCGATTAAAGTTGCAATATTATAAAGATAATGAATGGGAAGCAGAATATATTTCCGAAGCCAAGAAAATTGGTACAGAAGTTTGGAATAATTTTTATAAGCATATTCATGCAAGAAGTTGTTCATTGGTTTAATATTGTCAATTTATCAATCTTTAGCTGTATTTTTTATATTTTTTAGTGTTTATTCTTTTAATTATTCTTTTATTATTATTGTTGATAAGAAAAAAGTGGGTTGTATTTTATTGGCCCGATGGGTACTTCAGCTTAATATATTAAGGTTATCTGATAGAAAACTAGTTATTTCTTTTTTTTTCTTAAATATCTGGTACTATAACTATAAAATATGATTTCTTAATTTATAATCCGTCTTTTTTTTTCAAAAAAAAAAAGGTATATCACTTTATTCACTTCGTACATTTGTCATGAATATATGCAAAGATATTTTAACAACAATCAATCTTCACTTAGCAAGTCTAGCCAACAAATTAAAATATATTTAATATCAGAGTTTAAATCTCTTGCTACACATGTTTTATCAAACTTTGCCTATATAAATTTTGTTAAATGATTGCATCTTTGATTCACATTATTCATAACATTATTTCTATAATTAATAAGCAATTACTTTCCTTGCTACTTATGATATATTACCGTACTTCCTTACTACTTAATCTTTAAAAGGATATTATCTATTGTTTGATAATTCAAGGCTTAAGAATATAACATTAGATAATCTAATAACATGGCTTTTATTGATTGTGTCATTTGAGTCATTTTTACAAATAAATGAATCATCTGCCATTACAATAGTTATTGTAGTTATTGTAGTTTTCATTCACATTTTATTATATTTAGTAACTCGAGGGACTGTATCCTGAATTACGACCAGTGAAGCTACTAAAGCTTCTTGAACAATAGCAGTAGAGGGTTGTTTAGGAATAAGATTGCTCGAAGAGGCAGTAATTTTAAATTTTTTAGACCGTTTTGTATTTGTTGCATTAGCAGTATTATCTTTTTCATTAACTCCCTCATGTTTCCTCTTAGAAGAATTAGAAGTAGAAGTACTTCGTACAGCTCGTCTAGTCCTAGGAACATCTGATATAGTTGCTTTATGAGATACAACCGCAGTAGCATCCATAGCGCGTTCTTGAATTCGAGTAGAATGTCTGGTACGTCTGGCATCTGAAGTAGAGTTTTCAGTAGCTTGTTGTTTTGTTTGTGTGTTTTTTTTATCCATTTTAAATAGATTTAATAGAATGATTTTCTTTAGCTAATAAAAGAAACGTTGACGCGTGAAAGAAAATATGATATCGTAAAGGAATAAAAACAAAATATTTTGCGTAATTAAAATAATCAAGAAAGCTTACAGGAAAGTTCTTTTGGGACAGAAAAAAAAATCACTTTTGTAGAAAAAAATGTACGAGTTTTTGATTAAAGTGGCTTATTACTGGCGATTCTCTATGACGTCATGTAAAAATTATGTAACTAGAGCGTCAGAGAAAGCAAATGGCGTAAACGTTAAAGGTCAAAATGATTTTCGCAAAGATGTCGTAATGCGATGGCTTAACAAATATTTATCACTCCGAAGAATTTCAGGATTGAATTATTCTAACTGAAAGTTTTAAAGCAAAAATCAGGGTGAAATTTTGATTGGTGTATTGGTAGAAATTTTAATTATTACTGCAACGATAATTTATGCAAAGAATTTTATGAGTGAAAATCTATTATTGTAATAGTAAATTTACGCCGAAAGATGAGATTATAGTCAATGGAAATTATAAATTTTTTTGAGAAATAAAAATTTTAATTAATTTCTCCATAACAATAATTATCATAATTATCCGAAATCCAACACCCACAGACTTTGTATGGCCTTTCTAAGTAACAAAACATTTTTTTTCACAATTATGATTCATTTGGATATAATATTTTTGAAAACTTAGTTCCAGTTTCAGGTTATAAAATCGGTAAAGTATGGTAAACAGTATGGCCCCATCCGCTGCATGAGGAGAGTTTCTTTAGAGTTATTAATGGTGAATCAGTATAATACTAGTCTTTGGATGACATCGTAAGAGAATTTACTTTAATTTGTTTCTTGTTATTGAATTTTCAATGTTCTTATAATTTTTTCTCGTAGCTATGTATCAAGTTTGGTGTATGTGATCAGACGCTATTAATAAATATTGCTCAAAATCTACCATAAGATAATGGTAGAAAAAATTTAATGGTGAACGTTATTAATTAATTAAAAAAAGGCATAAATTTATACACATACGTACATAAAAATTTTAATAAATAAAAATTTAGAATAAAGATACAAATCATAAAAATATAGCAGTGGACTTAATTTTGCTAATATTGGTTAATCAAACTTGGATTGGTTCTTCACTAAAAAAGAAATCTTTTAATCTGTTCTTTAAACTTTTCCTCTTATCACTCTTATCCCTATAATATAAATTTACTCCTCTGCTTTCTGGTTTAGGAGGGGGTACAGGATAATTATATAAACTTTCTTCACTGCTTTCACTGCTTTCTCCGCTTACGTCCGTTTTACTTCTAGGTGGTTGTGTATTCATGTTTGATTGCTTATTTGGCGCCATATGAAAAGTAAGTATGTTATTAATTAAATCTTCGGGTAATAATAATTTATATGGGTATACTTTTAATAGAAAATCTTCCGATGATATATGATAAAATCTTATTAAAGGAATGAATCTATAAATAGTTTTCTCCATAATCGTGATTTCATCTTTATTCCATTTCTTAACATCTCGTTGAATAGAAGGATTCTGAGCCAAACACCACTTAATCAAACTATCCCATATAGCAATTTCATCTAATGACAAATCATTCCTTTTTAAGAGTAATTCTAATAAGGGTGCTTTTAAACTAGTAAATTTATCAGAATTAAATAATATTTCTGGTTTTTCACAAATTTTTTTGTGACAAAAATTCCATAAATCCGTAAAATTTTTACGTTGATAAACCATTTCAAGAATTTCCGAAGGATTTTGTTGTAAAAATTTATATTGATGCTCAATCAAGTAGTTTTGAACGCAAGTTATTAACGTTGGAATGTTAAATTCATCCATTGCAATCAAAAGGTTTAGTATGTCAAGACCCTGTAGTTTCGTCAAATTGACTTCACCACAATAAATAAACCTAAATATAGCAATATATAAATATATCGTTTTATATAAATAGAAATAATTTTATATGAATTACCTTAAGATAATTTCAAAATATCGAGGTGAAATATTGGGTTTTTTAAAAATAAATTTTCCATTTTCTTTCACGCTCCAATCTGTTGCGGTACGGAAATATTGTGACCTAGCACGTAAAATAAGTGAATGCGCATGCATTTCTTTTAATTCTTTACCAACGTAGAAAATAACGTCATATCCTTCTTTAGTTTTAAATAAATTTTCAAAATCATCAGCAACTTCCTGAGGATATTTGAAAAAGTTTACTTCATTCTTTTTGAAAGACGTATCATTGGGAAATTCCGAAACATCCAGGTCATTTGGAAAATCCGAAATATCCGGGTTTTTTGGAAAATCCCAAGCATCCGGGCTAGCCATTTTTCTTTTTTTTTACGATAGAAGAAAGAAAAAAATTTGTGCATGGTGATCACAGCCACTTATAAATATTCATTTATTCGACGTGCACTAATATGTATTTTCATTTACTCAAAACAAATCACATGATGTGATTAGATTGTCAGCCCGCATTACAATGAATTCGTTAACCGTAGAATAATCACTTTAGAACCGCTTTTAAATTATGGCGCTTCGCTTCAATACTTCTTAAGATTTAACGATTAAAAAGTGTGATTAACAGTTAATCAATTTTGTGTACACGTTTGCCCAAATAAAAAAATTTTAACCGACGTGTTACATATTCTTGTTCATCAGACTAAAGGGGGATTCGTTTATTTTTGAAAAAACCGACGTGTTGTTCATCAGATTAAAGGGTAATCGTTTATTTTTGAAGAAACCGATGTGTTACATTATTCTTTCTTGTTCATCAGAATAAAGGGGAATCGTTTATTTTTTTTGAGGAAACCAATGTGTTACATATTCTTGTTCATCAGACTAAAGGATTTTTTTGAAGAAACCCGATGTGTTACATATTTTTGTACATCGGACTAAAGAATCGTTTATTTTCGAAGATCACATATCTTTGCTATATTTGCGTTATTTTTAATATTTAAATAAAGAATAAAAGTTTTATTCTCGCAAAAATATTAATCATCATGTCTTATAGTACCGAAATTGAAGCTATAGATAATTCAAATGAGAGGATTAATTGGATTGAGGAAGCTATTTCAAAAAAACATATTAAATTTTATGAATATAAACATTTTAAGAACATTAAAGAAATTGGTTCCGACGGAATTGGAAAATTCTATCGTGCAAATTGGAAAAATTTTCGTGAACACTTAGTATTGAGATCATTTTATAATTTTAATAATAAAATTATTAAAGAGATTGTTTGTGAGGTAATTATAATATAATACACATTGTACTAAGCATAAACCTACGTTCTTTTATATGTATATTTAATATAAATTTCTATTTTAGTTTAAACTTCATCGTGAAGTTGATTTTTATGATAATATTATTCGTCTTTATGGTGTTACAACTATCACTCAAGGTACAGTATAATAAATATTTTAATAATTTTACTTTTAGTACTTTTCGTAATTTTATTTCTTACAAACTTTATTTATTAAAAAAAAAATTTTTTTTTTTTCTTGTTTTTAATTAGAAAATCAGAATGATCAGTTAAAACCATATTTATTAGTAATGGAATATGCTAATGGTGGTACTCTACAAAACTATTTAAAGAGAAATTCGATTAAACTCACTTGGAATGATAAATTTAACCTGGCACTTCAATTGGCTTATGCCGTATCATGTTTACATGATAAGGGAATTATACACCATGATTTGGTAACGATTCATTTATTAATTATATTTATTGTATTATAAAAAATAATTTTATTTATATTTATTCATTTATTTAATGTTAGCACCCCAATAGTATTTTGGTTCGTCGAAATGTTATCAAATTTGCTGATTTTGGATTATCGAAAAGAATTGAAGAAATATCCAAACTTCAATCAATAGGGATAATTCCTTATATTGATCCAAAAAGATTTGATAGACGAAAAAGTATTGATAATAAAGTAAATCCGTCGTTAGATAAGAAGAGCAATGTTTATAGTGTAGGAATGATTTTATGGGAGATCTCTAGTGGTAAACCTCCTTTTTATTCCGAAGACAATCCATATGATATCAATTTAGCTGTAGAAATTTCACAAGGTCTAAGGGAAAAGATTGTTCCGGAAACACCTTCCGATTACGTTAATCTATATACTGGTAAATTCAATTATAATTCATATAATAATTTTATTTTTTAATTATTTATTAAAAAAACTCATTTTTAAAAATATTAATATTCCGTTTTTAGAGTGTTGGAATAGTGAACCAGATAATCGTCCAACTATGAATCAAGTGGTTGAAAGATTAAAATTAATGATATTTGTTTCAAATCAACCATCTCAAATCATTCAAAAATTTGATAAAATAAATGTAAAAGAAACAACTAAATCATTAATTTTATTAGAAGAAAAATTCAACAAAATAATCGATGAAATGGTTGATCTTATTCTTAAAAACCTAAATGAAGGAAAAAATACAGATATAGTAAAAAAACTTATTATTGATTATCTTAATTATTATAATATAAATTTACAAATAATTTATGATTTACTTAAGGATATTCAAAATAATTCAAATTCTATTTTCTTATTTGGATATTTTAATTATTATGGAATTACTATAGAAAATGAAAATTATGAAGAAGCATTTAAATCATTTATTATTGCATCAAAAGATAATCATACATTAGCACAATACTATGTTGGAAGATGTTATGAATTTGGTATTGGAACTTTAAAAAATGAAACTTTGGCTTTTGAATATTATAAAAAAACAGTTGATCAAGATTTTACATTAGGAGAATTTAAGATTGGTTGTTTTTATGGTAAAGGAATAGGTATTGAAAAAGATGAAAAACAATCTGTTTATTGGTATAAAAAGGCTGAAAGTAATGGTCACTTAATGTCTATGTATAATCTTGGTCTTTATTATCTGGATGAAAAGAGTGCTAAAAGAAACTATTATGAAGCCTTCAAATTATTTAAAAAATCTGCTGAAAAAGAGTATTCAGATGGAATAACAATGTTAGGATATTGTTATGATAATGGATTTGGGACAAAAATTAATAAACAAAAAGCATTTGAATTATATTTAAAAGCTGCAAATTTAGGAAATAATATAGCACAACATAATCTTGCTCGCATGTATATAAATGGGGATGGTGTTGAAAAAGATGATGATAAAGCATTTGAATTATTTAAAAAATCGGCTGAAAGAGAAAATACGGATGGAATAGTAATGTTGGGATACTGTTATAATGATGGAATTGGAACAGAAATTGATAAACAAAAAGCGGTTGATTTGTATCAAAAAGCAGCATATTTAGGGAATGATGTGGCTCAATATAATGTTGCACTTTGGTACGAAGATATGCAAGATATAAATCAAGCCATCCATTGGTATAAATTATCTGCTGAACAAGGAAATCAAAAAGCACAAAGTAAATTAGAAGATTTAGAATGAAAAACTTGAGAAAAAAGCCATAAAGTATTCTAACTATTTACGAGAGAGATTTTATTTATATTTTTGCAATTCTAATAAAATTTATTGAAAATAAATTATATCTTACTGGTTTATCGTTGGCATATTTTCATAATATAATATAATAATATTACACCAATATTGTAAACATAAAAGAAGCGCGACTTAGCACTAATTCTTTATTTGTCAGGTAATACCTTGTCGGACCATATCCTGAATGACTTTTGCTGAAATTAGTCCCGAATCACTGTTTATTTCCGGAAGTCCAATTTCTTGAATCCTAAATCCCAATGTCCTGATTCCTGAATGGACAATTGCTTGAAATATACAATATAACAATAACTAGTATAAATAATCATCCCATCCAGATATGATCAACACTGCAGATACAACTGACGCGATATATTTATTACTTTTTCGTGATTTAATCATCTTAATCTTTAAATCTATAATTAATAATATGCGAATTTTTTAAATTATTTATATTACTACATGAATAATAAGTAATTTTTAAAAAAACTCTGTCTATAAATAGCTAATATGGACGACACTAACTTTCTAGATTGGCTGCTTTCTTATGTGTATGTGATTTTGGATATTATTTTGCTTGTTTGTGTAACAGTTCAGGCTAAAGTTTACAAGAATGTAGAGATTTTTTATGATTTTTTTCATTATTTTAGTTGGTATTAATTAAGTCTTTTAGTTCTTAAAAGACGTAATAAAGAATATCACTATTTAATTCTGACATTATCAATTTCTTTGGAGTGAAAATATAATTTAATTTATTTACATATCTGTAGAAATTTAAAATTTCTAAGAAAAATTATTTGATAATAAAATATTTAATACAAGATCGGAGCGCATAAATTTGAATAAATATAGTGACCATTTGAATTGGATAATCAAAGGAAATGAATTTAATGCTTCATCATTTGTAAGAAGCGGGTCAAGTATACTGTATACAGTATCTGGTATACCGAAGCCAGCCAAATTTTTTAATTATAACAAGTTATCTCAGTAAATTCTAGATCTATTCGGAGTTACAAATTGTAATGCGCACGTGATTTTTGATCGTGAATATTTTCCCGAATGAATGAATCTCGTAGTTAGCAGTATTGGCGATAGCCGTAAAAATTTACCATAAATGTAGGAGCAAAGAAATAACATGACGTAGGAACTCGCATTACATAATTTATTTCTTTGTAAAATACTGTATACTCTATTCTGAAAAATAAAGTTTTCATATATTGCAGACTTTTAAAAAATATGTTACATGAAATCGTTACAGTTAAAAACTACGAAATTGTTTTATCACCATTATTACGCAAAGAAATGCAAGAATGTTGATTGAAGCAGAAATTAACTTCCCACTATTAATTTTTTTTTACGACCTTAATCCTTTTCTTTGCTTGTTCATTCATACTGACTTTACTATATAGATCATCTTCATCGTTGTATAGCCTTTTGTTACATATTTCATGCGCAGTTTCTTCTTCCATCATTTCAACGGTTCTTAGTTCATACTCCGAAGCAGTATTAGCGTCCAATTTATCATTGGCTATATGAAACAATAATAAAAGGTTACATAACAGTAAGATATCTTAAATCACAAGTCATTAACTCGTACCTTCAGAAAATTCAGCACGACTAGAATACGTATAGCCATAAAAATCCTTAAAATTCGCTTTGTATACTACAAGACAATTTGATTGTAATAAGTCCAAAGCATCTTCAGTCTTAGGTCCGTTTGTGCATATGAAAAGCATCCAGTCCTTAAGTTCAGGAATTTTTGCCTTTAATTCCTTATATGCCTTTTCAGTCTTCTCATACTCATCTTGTATTATTTTCTTGCTCAAAGTCTGGGGTTGATTAGTTGTGGCGTCTGAAGACTTTACTTGGATCGCAAAAAGGCAATTATTAATGAAAAAAAAGATATCAAATGGAGCTCCTTTACAATTCTTATATACGGTACAAGGTGACAGGTGTTCATTCTGTGATGTATGAGGATACCGATGTTTAAGTTCCTGATATTTTATAGAACTTTCGTCAAGGAGCTTAAACTTATATTCTTGATTTTCTAAAAACTCAAATTCATTAAAACCATACGCGCCCCTGAAGAGATCTTTTATTGTTACGTCTTTATTTAAGATTGAAAGAAGTGTAAGCCGTAAAGTCCAAAACTTCACGTTGAAAAATTCAAAGCTTTCCCAAAAAACATGAGAATCTTGCTTAATCATAACTTCCCAAAATTCACACGATTTGTTAAATGATGTTAATATGGCAATCCATATATAAGGCATGCGGACATAAAAGGAAGCGCTGTCGGCTACTTTTTCCAAATTTAGAATACCTTCTGATGAGAGGTCAATATAGGATACTCTCCCATCTTTATCAGCTACATTATGTTTAGACACAGGGATATTAAGGATGGCATGCGCAATTGCTGGAGTTACAGTGTAAGCAAAATGCTTAAACTTGTATCGATCCATAAGTTCTTCCTTTACATTTGTAATACAATGTACATAATCCACATTATTTGTTCCACGCCCAAATTTCTTCACCAAATCTTCAAAGAAAATTTCTAGAGCCCGAACTTGCCCACCAAAGTCGCTAATACAACGACGAAAAGTACCACTGTTGATATAATCTCCTAAAGAATAACGTTCAGAGACAAACTCAATAATGTTCTGTACCTCCCGACTTTGAAGAAGGCGAAGTGGTAGTTGTAAATAACGATAAGTTGATTCTTTGAGTATTTCTTCAAGAGGACCTTGGATTGTTCCGGCCAAGATTGGTACATGAAATATATTTTTGCCAAGGCAATTTAATCCTCCGACAGCATGAATAATTGAACGAAGTGGATTGTTTTTAAATAAATCCCTATCGTACAAGCTGTGAAGATTATTTAGTTCATCAATGCCGAGGATAATTATGTTAATATCAGTGTCAACATCCTTGAGAACAATCTCAAGTGCACCACTAATTTTGATTTTACAATTTTCGCCACACATCATCACAAATTTTTCATAGTCATAAGCTCCACCGGAGATAAAATGTTCGTAAAGAATTCTCAATGCGACTGATGTTTCGCCAAAAAATACATCATCCAGTTTTGCAGGAGTACCGTTGCCAAAGGTAACATTTACGGAATACATCCTGTCTTTGATCATATTCAAGAGTTCATCGTCATTCGTGTATTTTTCAGCTTGTTCACGTAATAAAGTTGGAATCTCCTGTAGGAATCGGCTCTTGCCAGTACCTGGTCCATTAGCCAATATGGGGATAGGGTGGATATTTCGGTCTGTTTCATTGCGTTTTGTAAATCTTTCGCAAATTCCATTTCGACTTCCGTTGCCTTCCATTAATATTTTCATTGTCTCCTCCCGGCCTTGTAGAGGAAAGTCGGCACCTGATGTACTCACCAACTGATAGAATATATAAATTAGTGCGCAACCAGAAACAGAAAAAAACAAAACAAGTTAAACAAAAACATACTTTAGGTACTACAGTTTTAGGGGGACGCTTCAAGGTCATCATCCAGTTGTAAATCGAATTAACGTCATTCCAATTGACCCCATCTATATGTATCAATAATGGCGAGTTAGAATACAAAGACTAAAACAACACAGGATATTTAACTAGAGATACCGTACTTTGTGTAACGCCTTGCTGGGAGGGATCTGCTTTAACGCGAAAAAAAAGAGATCAGACCAAATCGATATTTGTTACTGCAAATTTCTTGTTCGAGAGGTAAAACATGGGGAGACACTTACTGGGGATGATGGCAATGACATGGATATTAGACATTGTAAATTTAACTCCATTTAATTCATCTTGAAAATAGTCCTTAAACATTAGTCTAGGTTTCATTTCATCTTCTTTAGGTTTTTCTTTAATGTCACTTTCATCTTTGACGTCAACTTTCCAAAGTTTCACTGCGTGTCTATCAGAATCAGCAACTTTTCTCCTATCGCAGATATAATCCTTGAGGTGACCAACTTTGAAATCTTTAAAGTCGTAATGATTATTACCAAGCTTGGCAATTATGTTTTCATTATTTTCTTTATTAAAGTTAACCAAGAAAGAGTCAAGAGGGTTAACCGTGTCGCTTAGAACTGAACAATTGAATGACACTAACATTTTAAAGATGGCGAGTTAGAATACAAAGACTAAAACAAGACAGGATATTTAACTAGAGATACCGTACTTTGTGTAACGCCTTGCTGGGAGGGATCTGCTTTAACGCGAAAAAAAAGAGATCAGACCAAATCGATATTTGTTACTGCAAATTTCTTGTTCGAGAGGTAAAACATGGGGAGACACTTACTGGGGATGATGGCAATGACATGGATATTAGACATTGTAAATTTAACTCCATTTAATTCATCTTGAAAATAGTCCTTAAACATTAGTCTAGGTTTCATTTCATCTTCTTTAGGTTTTTCTTTAATGTCACTTTCATCTTTGACGTCAACTTTCCAAAGTTTCACTGCGTGTCTATCAGAATCAGCAACTTTTCTCCTATCGCAGATATAATCCTTGAGGTGACCAACTTTGAAATCTTTAAAGTCGTAATGATTATTACCAAGCTTGGCAATTATGTTTTCATCATTTTCTTTATTAAAGTTAACCAAGAAAGAGTCAATAAGGTTAAACGTGTCGCTTAGAACTGAACAATTGAATGACACTAACATTTTAAAGATATTTCTGTAAATTGATAAGTAATGTGAAGTTTGGAAGAGTTTTTGAGGGTATTGATATTTTCTGATTAATTATAAAATGATCTTTATAAACTTTTAATTGTGGCACAAAATAAGAAATGATTCATACGATTTTATCGTTACTCAGTTTGTATTCACGAGGCATTTAATTTGTTTCTTTAAATTTCATTATTATTATTTTAAGGGATCTTAATACAATTGAGACATGTCTATTAATAACATGTATTATTATTTCAAAATATTCACAAGGAAATTGGAAATTTCTTAAAATCTTTTGCTCCTTAATCATTATCAGATTTTTTTAGTAAAACAAAAGAAATTCAAAAAAAGTACACTTTACATCATGATTAATTATAAAATGATCTTTATAAACTTTTAATTGTGGCACAAAATAGAATGATTCATACGATTTTATTGTTACTCAGATTGTATTCACGAGGTATTTATTAGAGGTTGGAACCGGTGTAATGCCGTAGTATACATAATAAATTTATTAATTGTGAGGCGCAGTATTATATTTAGTCTTAGTGTATAAAATTGTAATTTATTTTTAGTTGTATTAATAATTGGACCGAAAAGTCGTTAAACTATTAGTCATGAGAATCAAGGATAATTGGTCCGTAATGACCTTAAACTATTAGTCACGAGATTTAAGGATAAATGAAGATCTGAAAGATACTAAATTGAATCAAATCAAGTGATCTGAGGTGTCAAGTGATTAATTTGTTGATCACTACGTTAATATAATTCAGGAGTTCATGATGATCAAAATGGATACAAAATTAAGATAATGGAAATACTTTAAAAACAATGGAAATACTTTAATAATTTAAATCCATGAATCGAAATTATGAATTTAGTTACACAAAAACAAACATAAAAAGGCGTGAAGATCACCTTTTGGGAAGGACAGAGAAAATTGGACGAATTTTGTTATGAATTATTTATTTTATTATTCAATGTTATTAAACCAAGCATATTATTGTATTTATTTATATTATTAATAAAGAGATATTTTTGTTAATACCTAAGGTGGCAACGTGATTTATCACGGGCTTAGGTTTTACAAGTGGTGCATGCTCCGAGAAAGGAAAAGTGATCATCCTCACATGATCACTACAGGTTATAAGTACAGGATCTCTGAGAAAAGAAAATGATCACCCCCACGTGATCATTAGAAGTTACAAATAAAGGATCTACGAAGTTAAGGAATTATAAAAGTAAAAGTTCTAAGTCTTGGTTAAAAAGAATTTAAGGTGTATTAACGTTAAATTTTAATAAAATAAAGTTAAATATTTTAAAGGATACGTGAAAATAATGGTTACCAAGGTAAAAGGTATTAATTTGGGTTAGTATGATCATAAATGTATAAAGAGATAATGTTAAAAATTAAATTTTTGATCTAACTTGACCACCGGCTGATAAGTCAATGAAAAATTATTATTATAATAATTTTCATACATATGAACCAAATATGTATGGTAGTAATTGATTATCAAGGGAAATGCGAGGCTAATCAAGTTAGAAGGGGTTTTAATAGAATATTGTAAATTAGTTCCATGAATTAAGGATTAAAAATAATTTTTATAAATAATTGAGGTTAAGTTAAGGATGAAAAGTGTACCCAAAAACCGACACTATAAATACGATGGTAGGGTAATTCTGTGTGAACTCAATTGAGGTTTTCTGTGTGATCAATTGAGAATA